TAAGTTTTTTTTACGTTATATAGCAAAACACAAAACAACAACATGCTGTTTCATTGTTACAACAACATTTAACAACGTGCACAAGAAACAACATACATATGCATGTATGTATGTATATCTTATGTTTTTTTATTTTGTTCTCATTATACACAAAACTTCCCACAGTAAACGGCTGCTGAAATCAGGGATGGTAAGGATTTATGTAAAAAATTCGAATTTATTTGGAGACATTGCTTTTTTGCTTTTAAATTATTTGACTTTTTTTTTGAGGTGTCGCGCATTTATTTGTTTGTATGTTTAAATTGGTTCATAACCTCAGTTAGTTTAAAGGATTCAATACAGCTAAATATAACACTCACACATGCCTTTCATTTATCTGCAGTATCTACAATGTACACCTGATTTTTTTTAGAATATTTTCATTTATTTTCTATTGAAGGTGTAACACAAAACTAATAGAAAGCTGTGGAATTTCACGTGTAAAGCTTTTTTGTTTGGGTTTGTTTAAACGACCAAAAAAAATCTCTAGTATAAACGAAAATATTTGCAAAAGTAGGGAATATATGTATATTTTAAGGTAAATCATAAAATAAATTGCTAAAATTGAATACGTGGAATATACAATAATTCCACATAAAAACAACAATATGTACGTTTAATGTAAACAAATAGAAGTTGTGCATTAAAATTTGATTAAAATGTATTATTTTTCCCGTAAAAGCAATAGTTACTTCCAAGTATTGAAGTACAAATGTTTTTTTTTTTATAATTTTTAAATTCTTTATTAAATAAATATTAAATTGTCAGTTTATGACTTTCAATTAATTACACTAACCCCATAGTATACCTTGTAATGGATACTATTTACAATCTTACTTATTTAATAGACAATTCAATCCCTTCCAAAGCGTAGGAAATAGCAAATGTCTTTAAATTCATTTTACAGTAAGCATTAAACTTCTTACTTGTAAGCGTTTTAAGAAGCATGTAAGTACTTACTTCTAGTCATATTTAGATTCTATACTGACCAACACTTACCAGAACATCAGGGTTATTGATATATTTTGTTAACACGCTTAGGTAATAAAATATTTTAAATATTTTAATTTAAATTAGCTTTAAAAATAAATATAATAAATGTATGCGCCGTAAAATATGCAATTTCACTACATTTTTTTTTTCGAAAATGGGAGAATAAAGAGGGAGAGGGGAGGAAATGAAGGGAGAAGGGGGAGGGGGAGGCAAGAAGAGGGAGGCGGGCCGAAGAAGCAGGGGGGCAGGGGAAGAGGGAGAGGGGGGGGAAAGGAAGGGGACAGGGAGCGGCCGGGGAAGAAACCAGGGGGCGGAGGCGAAAGAAGGAGGAGGCGGGGGACAGAGAGCGGGGAAGGGGAGGAACGAGGGCGACAGGCCGAAAGGCGAACGAACGAAGGAACGAACGAAAGCGAGCGAGCGAGCGAGCGAGCGAGCGAGCGAGCGAGCGAGCGAGCGAGCGAGCGAGCGGACGAGCGAGCGAGCGAGCGAGCGAGCGAGCGGAGCGAGCGAGCGAGCGAGCGAGCGAGCGAGCGAGCGAGCGAGCGAGCGAGCGAGCGAGCGAGCGAGCGAGCGAGCGAGCGAGCGAGCGAGCGAGCGAGCGAGCGAGCGAGCGAGCGAGCGAGCGAGCGAGCGAGCGAGCGAGCGAGCGAGCGAGCGAGCGAGCGAGCGAGCGAGCGAGGAGCGAGCGAGCGAGCGAGCGAGCGAGCGAGCGAGCGAGCGAGCGAGCGAGAGCGAGCGAGCGAGCGAGCGAGCGAGCGAGCGAGCGAGCGAGCGAGCGAGCGAGCGAGCGAGCGAGCGAGCGAGCGAGCGAGCGAGCGAGCGAGCGAGCGAGCGAGCGAGCGAGCGAGCGAGCGAGCGAGCGAGCGAGCGAGCGAGCGAGCGAGCGAGCGAGCGAGCGAGCGAGCGAGCGAGCGAGCGAGCGAGCGAGCGAGCGAGCGAGCGAGCGAGCGAGCGAGCGAGCGAGCGAGCGAGCGAGCGAGCGAGCGAGCGAGCGAGCGAGCGAGCGAGCGAGCGAGCGAGCGAGCGAGCGAGCGAGCGAGCGAGCGAGCGAGCGAGCGAGCGAGCGAGCGAGCAGCGAGCGAGCGAGAGAGCGAGCGAGCGAGCGACGAGAGCGAGCGAGCGAGCGAGCGAGCGAGAGCGAGCTATCGAGCGAGCGAGCGATCGACGAGCGAGCTAGCGAGCGATCGAGCTAGCGAGCTATCTATCTATCTATCTATCTATCTATCGATCGAGCTATCTATCGAGCTAGCTATCGAGCGATCTAGCGATCTATCGATCTATCTATCTATCTATCTATCTATCTATCTATCTATCTATCTATCTATCTATCTATATCTATCTATCTATCTATCTATCTATATCTCTTTCGAGATCGAGAACAATAATGAAATGATACGTTCGTTTTAAAAATTTAACATATCCAAGGTGTCCTATTTTTTGGATCCCTAATTACGTTGCCGGTGGGACCATGAAGTCCAAAACTTTAAACTCAACAACACCTCCTCTTTACGCATATTAAGAACTTACAGAATTCTATTCCTATTTTTGTATTTCTATACCACTGTGCAACGATAGTTCTATACAAACATCTTCAACAATAAGGTTTCGGAATCATATACTTTGACTTATTATTAGTAATAATTCCTGAAACTTTCTCTTGAAATAACGAGTAAGCTGTTAATAGTAACTACATTATCATTTAAAACCTTTATTATGGAAAGTTTTTACTGTTTTGTGTGAATGTTTTTCTTATAATGCACAATACTTATCAATTTCAGGAAAATACATACAAATCAACAAAAGAGTAAAAATTATTTTTGCAATAAACAATTATTTGTACGCTAATTATTTTTCTACTTAATTTTCAATTTATCTTGCAACTGTAAGTATTGAATTAAAGGAGGAAATATATATATATATATATATATATATATATATATATATATATATATATATATATATATATATATATATATATATATATATATATATATATATATATATATATATATATATATATACAGTATTGTTCGAAACCTAAGCAACTTTTTTTGGCATTGTATACAAAGTGCTATATTTTCTATTTTAATTGATTTATTCAAAATTATATAATTGATAATAATAATATTATGTGTCTACATTATAATAACAACAACAAAATTTTAATTCCATTTCGATGTGAGTTACAAGAAAATAATAACTGAATTAACTCCATAAATAGCTGTTCGAAACTTAAGCAACTTTTTGATCTTCTTATGCAAATCTTTGGTCCCTTTGAGTTCCAAACACATTTATGGAATAGATTAGTTACTAGTGTAGTTCGTAATGAATCCCAATCGGATTTTAAGCTATTCGCCCCTTCAATGTTTTCTAAAACGGCGAGTTCCGAAACAGCACTTCAAAACGCCGAACAGCATCTCTAAGGGATTTGAGTCAGGAAATTTTGATGAGCAATCAAAGAGTTTGGGTCCTATTACCCGATAACAACTCTTAGATCAACTTTGCCAAAGGTTTTGGTTCATTATCATGCTGAAAATCGCAATAAAGTAAGTTGATCTGTTCGATGTACTCAATCATATGATTCATTTTGTTGGCGAAAAACGTCCCAAAAGGAAAAACAATCCAACTTTGTTTGTGTTTCAACATCAGGACTAACTCTTCTCTTTAAAAAACATAGCCACACCCTAAAATTTTGCTCTCTATTCATTATTGGGCCTTTACTAAAAGGGTATATTGTAATATTTCCTTCAGCCTCTGAGCCTCGCATACTCTGTTTGAATTTAAGACGGAAAATGTGGACCCGTTTGTAAATAAAACTGTTTTTATTAGTCTTGCGTAATCTATTTCAATATTCTACCCAAAATTGTACAAAATTTTTGAAAAAATCGAATTTCTTTAAGTAAACTCTGTGCCATGTCACTGCGGGATTCATATGCGGTTACATCATCGTACATTAAAGACTTAAAAAAGCATGGAGGTCACACAATTAAGGTTATGGGCAAGATTTTTAGTGAGTAGAGTAAGTCCTGATGTTGAAATACAAATAAAATTGGATTGTTTTACTTTCTGGGACATTTTTGGCCAACAAAATAAACCAAAGGATTAAGTACATTGAACAGAACAAATTACTTTGTTGCGATTTTCAGCATGATAACGAACCAAATCCTTTAGCAAAGTTGATCTAAGAGTAGTTATCGTATAATGGGACCCAAATTCTTTGATCGTCCATCAAAATCTCCTGACTCAAGCCCCTTAGAGATGCTGTTCGGCATTCTGAAGCGCTGGGTCGAAACTCGCAGTTTTAGAAAACATTACAGCTGGCGAGTGGCTTAAAATCCGATTGGGATTCATTACGAACTACACTAGTAACTAATCTATTCCATAAATGTGTTTGGAACTCTAAAGGATCAAAGATTTTCATATGAAGATCAAAAAGTTGCTTCAGTTTCGAACAGCTATTTATGGAGTTAATTCAGTTATTAATTTCTTATAACTCACAGCGAAATGGATTTAAACTTTTGTTGTTGTTATTATAATGTAGACACATAATATTATTATTATCAATTATATAATTTTGAATAAATCAATTAAAATAGAAAATATAGCACTTTGTATACAATGCCAAAAAAAGTTGCTTAGGTTTCGAACAATACTGTATATATATATATATATATATATATTTTTTTAATTATCAGTTTCAAACGAAATATAGCTGAAAAGCATAAAAAGGCGACAATCATTCATGGAAATAGAACAGAACTTTAGCCTGAAATACAAAACGAAGAGTTTATGATTTATCACTTAAAAGGCATTTGAGTGTTTACTTTTATATTGTCAGTTCATTAAAAGTTTTTAGTTAATTGCGTGAATCAAAGAAAGAAAAAAATAATGTTATAAAATTTAATTTTAAGATTTCAAAACTCTCTATTTACAATTATATTTTATATTTCAAAATATTTTATACTCAC